CATCCAAAACCCCTGATATACCCACTCGACCAGGAACCCTCCTGAATATGACACCCACACAATGTCCCTCCAAACCTACACGACTGAAACCACAGAGACCAATTCAGCTGTTTCAGGCCAGTCCAATATAATCTACATTCAAATCCAACCAACCAACAGTCAGGCCACTGGAGCTGAACATATTTCACACTCGCGGCTCTTTAAACGTCCAATCTTTGCTATTTTTGAAATGTCAGAAATGGAATCCAGCGTCCTCATAACCCAAAACTCCTGTACTCCTGTCCAGAATCAGCTGGGCTGAGATATTCGTCCATATACGATGATTCAGTCGTAAATGTAGCATGATGGCTACACGTCCGACAATCACCCCTATCCGCCAGGCGTCTTACCGATATCCCAGGTTCGTCGTACCGTGACTGGAGACCCCAGACCTCGAAACAGTCTCTAACATCTACCAAATCGGCTGCTACTCTAACAGTTCCTGGTTTGACCAGCTGCTGAAGGTCGCGCACTAAGACACAAAATAATACTTCCCGTTCCGTTTATAATTACAGTGTAAAAACTCGCGAAGGCGAACCAACCTGAGATGTACCCCACACTACTTTGGTCCAATGTGAGAGGTGGCCACCTTGCGCCCATGTTTTGCTCCAGGAAACAATGACGATCCGCGATCAAAGGTTCAGAAGACGACATTATGAGCCGTGGCAGCAGGATTCCCCCAGCCAGGGTTCGGTTGACACGTTAATGCGCAATTCCCAAACCGGTACCCACACCACAACGCAATCGGGGACGGCGCTTTGTTGGTTGTTGTTTAATACAATCAGTGCTGCAATTATTAATATTGATTAAACGCTCTTTTACATCTTGTGGATGGTGTTGCTTACCTGGGGAACACATGGCACCAGGATGCATTATGGGAAGAAGGCGAGCCGATGGAGGCAGTGTGATGCGATGTTCTGCTGGGAAACCTTGGGTCCTGCCATTCATGTGGATCTTACTTTGACATGTAGCACCTAGCTAAGCACTGTTGCAGACCATGTTCACTGTATGGAAACAGTTTTCCCTGACGGCCTCTTTCAGCAGGATAACGCGCCACAAAGCAGAAATGGTTCAGGACCAGTTTGAGGAACAACAAGTTCAAGGTGTTGACTCTGTCTCCAGATTCCCCAGATCTCAATCCAATCAAGTGTCTGTGGGACAAACAAGTCCAATCCATGGAGGCCCCCCTCACCATGTACAGGACTTAAAGGATCTGCTGCTAATGTGTTGGTGCCAGATACAACAGCATATCTTTAGAGGTCTAGTGCAGTCCTCGATGGGTCAGGGCTGTTTTGGCGGCAAAAGGGGGAGGCAAGTGGTCATAATGTCATTGCTGATCGGTGTACAGGCATATACACACAAACATAGCGATGCACTGAAACAGATTTGCACCCGATATGACTTTACAGCATCATGACATCACGTAACCTCTTGTTACGGAGCAGGCCGGCAGAGGAGCAACATCAGCAGTTTGGAGATATTTTAATTCACTTTTACAACAACATTTAATTAGTAACAGTCAGACAGTGATGAACATCTAATGGAAATAAAACATATTTTTAAAGTCATTGTTAGAAAGTACCCAAATGTAAGTACTTGTACTTGGTCTAAGAACAGTGGTATTGGTGCATCTCTACATACATATACTGTAATCACACATATATATCTATCTATATCTATCTATCTATATCGATCTATATCTATATCTATATATATATATGCCGGTTTCAAATGTTGGACTGAATTTTATAACATTACTGTATTAATTTAGATAATATGTATTTTGTCTAACATAACTGATTATTTGTAGTATTATTACTGTTATTGATTTTATCATCATTTAATATTTCCTTTAACTCTTCTATTTCATGTACAGATTTGTTATGATTACTTAGGTAATTTATTTACTTTTATTATTTTTATCTGCACAATTACATAGCTGCGTAATGTGTTTAACGTTAATTAACACTTTGTAATTAAATTATATTCTAAATGATTTACCACACACACAATGTGATGGCACATTATCTCACCGTGTAACTCGTCCACGACACCAGTGGCTCCCAACCAGGGGGTCAGGACACCCACCTGGGGTCGCAAAAAAACTGGAAAACTCCTCTCTAATGCAATATTCACAGGAAATAATCTGCTCAAAATACACAGAGAGTGGCTATTCAGCTTTGTGTCTCACATCTTGCATGAGAAGAAAAATAGACTGAGCTTCAAAAAGGCAGAGAAGTTGATCTTTTTAGATTTCTTTGCTCTCCTGGCACAATAGGGCAAATAAGTAACAAAAAACACATCAGTATCAGCCTGGGCTATCGGCCAAACTATTATTCTAAACATCTGTATCGGCCCAGTATTTCACAATCGGTGGACAAATAAAGGACTTCTCTGCAGGATACATTTAAGAAATTAGGAGATCCTTCATGATGACGGAGTGGGAACAACTTCCGGGTCGCAGGAGGAGAGCGGACGTGAGGAAGTATAAATCAGCGTAATGAAAAGCAGCCACTGTGGCTGTGCAAATTTCTCGTATGTGAAAACCTGGCAATAAACCTCATATTAAGAACGTAACATATGTTGGACTTTGAGCTCCCAACAACACAGACTGGATCCCAAACACAAGACTCATTGATTGTGAGAGATATGTTTTACGCACACACAGCCATGAACTGGTACCTCTGAGCAGTATGTCCAGCATGGAGACGCTGATGTCTTTGGAACTCCTCTCTTTGTTCTCCACAGAGCGACAGAGCTGCTGTGCTGCCTGGACAATGGTCTGCTTTCCGTCCTCTGGAGACAACACCTTCACTGTGGGCCTGCAGGACACCACTGACACACACACACACACACAATATCAAAACAATAACGTGGTTGGTGGATTTAAAAAAAAAAAACAATCCCACAAAGGCTTATACTCGCTTCATTTATGTTAAATAAGGCAAAAACAACATTAAAATAAACATATGGCCTCACGTTGCATCTACATGAAATCTATAATAGGATGGAATGCGCATTATCTAGACTGACAAGACCATTTTACAACATGGGGAAAAACAATTTGGAACAGTACTGCCAAGATAGCTTTAAAAACAAGATGAATGGAGATATATTCCAGTGATTAGGAGTGAGGAGAATAAATAATTATGAGAAATAAAGAAATGAATCAAGCCTTTCTCGATTGCGTAGAAAATTGCTTCATCTGATCACACTGAGCTGTTTCTACCCTGTCTTTCTTCAGTAATTTGGTCTTTTTATTTAATAGGGATTACTGATCTTCGTTTTATATTCAAATTAAACAATCACTATTATGGAACACTTTCAATTACATTTCTATACAGTCTTCTAAAAGGAAGTCCGGGGTGGGGGTGCCCCATCCAAAGGGTACAGGAGACACTGGAACTACAGCCTATACGCATGCATGCTGCCTTAGTTGACGGCAAGCAAACTGGCTGCACCTGCTCCACAGCTTCCTTGGTACAAACAGCATTCCCCACTCCTTTTAGCAAATGCTTTTCCACAAGTTTTTCTTGACAATACAGGACAACACTTGCTTACAAACGGCTTCACCGTAAAAGGTGATGCCAAAAAGATCACTCTTGCAGCTGGTAAACAGCTATGAAGTGTCATACAGTTAAGCCTACCAACAGTCGAGATTCAAACAAAATAGGTGTATGTATTCTATCTGTGTGAGGGGGCAAAAATACAAACATTTCCAACATAGATTATTTCCAGGACGCTGGATATCATCAAAGAAAGTCAGTGGACAAAATTCCAGGTACCTGACTGACGACTAGAGTAGTGCAGGAGGAGGCTGCATAATTCTTAATGTAATAACTGCAATAATAAATTTGACTTCCACAATATTATTATAACTATATATTGTGTTGGAGTACCTGTGGAATCAAATCCAGCTCTGTGTATTCACAGGTAGTCTTAGGCCTTATTTCCAGCTCACCATTACTGTTCTCTGCTTCCCAAAAACACCTGCAGCTGGAAAAATGTGTTTCCAACAGAGCCCATGTGGAAATGGAATATAACTGCATTTTCTTTTTATTCTCTATACACGTAACACCAGACACCCCCTACTAGGATTTTGTGTGTAACATTTAGGAGG